GCCAGAAGATGCGTGAAATGTGTGACAGTTGAGGGACGGCAATTTGAACATTTAGCTATCATTTTTTAAAGTTTTTATTGATGTAGGTACTTACTATTGTTTAATTTACGTTTAATATTGTATCTTCAGTTGAAGTGAAATCTCTCTTTTCTTATCTGTAGTATAGGTATATTTTAAATAAACGTCATATTTTTACAACAGATATGAGTTTTGTAAAAGTAAGAATTATAGTTTTGTATGTATTCTCATAGCCAGCCATATTAAAATGTAAAAAAGGATCGAATTTTTATATAAAACACCCCGTATCTTCTGCATTTGGAAAAATAACTATAGCGTGTGGTATATTGCCGAAAAGCAAAAAAAAAATCTCCATTTTTTTAGGTCATAACCAGCTACGATTTCCATTTGAAAAAATATAACTGCGGGTCATAACTCCGGAATCTTAAGACCTACTAAAAATCTAATACCGGCATTCAATTCTACGCCAAAGAATTAGTCTTGAGCAGTTTTCACTTTAACTCTAACTTATTTAACAGCTGAGATACAGACATGTCCAAAAGTGTCACAATAACGAGAATCGCCCTGTAACTCAGAAACAAATGAAGATAGCAAATTTCTGATTTGACAGTCGAGTTTGCCATGAAAATCGAGCTCGAGAACGTGGTGTCAGATTTATCATATCTTTAGTAGTTCCTGAGGTACCCTGAAATCCCATCTAAAATGGACCAGCCTGTACAACATTAAATATAGAATACCTATGGTTTTGTTCATATTATTATCAATATCACAAATTATGTTATCGTGCAAAGAACACTTTATTCTTAACAATAAGAACTGTAGGTATTGTAGAAAACATTATGACAACTTTAATTGCCCTTAACTAGAATGTGCTGCATATATATTTTCCTAGTTATAAAAGAAATAAATGTGATTATTTAATAATAACTCCCCTAGAAAAACGTTAAGATTCAAATAACGATATACAAACCTATACGTCAGTAACTTTTCCGCGATAAGTTTCCTGTGAAACTTTGATGAAGAGGCGGCAAATTTGCTAGTAATTAAAGTTACACGGTGCCTGACCTTAACAATTTAACTAGTGGAGTTTATTGAAAAAATACAATTTCCAAGCGGCACTCGATAAAAGCGAGATAAATCTATACAGTTTAAAATACAAACTGTTGGGAAAGTTTTGCTGAAAAGGTATAATGAAATTTCATATCTACTTTTTGCGTCTGGAAAGTCTGAACGATATCGGTGAAAGAAATTTTCAACGCCAGTTTTCACCGAATGATTGTGTAGGCGATTTGAGTGGAGGTATTTATAGTTAACTGCGGTCTCAACTTGCAAATATTCTGGTATGAGTTTTTATCTTCGAGTAATAAAACTTTTTTTTATTTAACGCAGTGTTCAGTTTGATAAGTACGTCTCTATACAGGGTATCTCACGGTGACGGCCCATTAGAATTATTTCAGAGGCTACTTCGATTTGAATTTTGAAAATTTGGGATACCGGGTTTTCGGACATGCCCTTCGCAACTAAAATAATGGCGTCCACGTACCACGTCCGGTTGTACTGGAAGTCGCCATCAACTTGTTTATTTTAAATGTAACACCCTATATATTATTGCAATTTTAGATTCTACGTGTTATTTTAGGTGGACTTTTATGAAGTTTCCCTATTCCTAAAATTAAGCGTTTTCGAGATAATTTATTTTTTCCAAAAAAAAAATGGAAAGAAACAGTGACTAGCTTCAAACCATGTGTATTTTATAGTATATTTATAGGGGGGATAGCTAGCTAGCTTTCCAGCCATACTTTCAAAGTGGCTTAATTGCATACAAGGTGCTAGAAATTTAATGCCGAGTTTAGTTAACATCAAACCTTCATAAGTTGTTTTTTTTAATGGAACACCCTGTATACACCTTCAGGTAAAGGGCGAAGATTAATAGTGACACATATAGGTAGTGCCAGTGGTTTTGTAGATGGCGGTTTACTTTTATTTGAATCTAAAAATACAGGTGACTATCACGAAGACATGAACGCAGATGTTTTCGAAGAGTATTTTACACATATGTTGGATCTTATTCCTCCGGGGTCTGTAATTGTCATGGATAATGCCAGTTACCATTCACGGCAGACCGAGCGGACGCCTACGACTTCTTGGAGGAAAGCCGATATAATTCAATGGTTATCCGAAATAAACATTTCTTTTGAAACAAATATGGTGAAAAAGGAACTTTTGACACTTGTCAATCTTAATAAAAATCAGAAAAAATATGTTATCGATGAAATGACAACAAATCGCCAAATAACGGTACTACGGTTACCACTGTGAACTTAACCCAATCGAATTAGTCTGGGCGCAGGTAAAAGGAGATGTAGCGCGAAATAATACGACGTTTAAATTAAGTGACGTGAAAATTTTGTTAAAAAATTCCTTGGAACGAGTAACTGCAGATAACTGGCAAAGATGTATACATCATGTACAAAAAGAAGAGGAGAAAATGTGGGAACTCGATAATTTAATTGACGTTACTGTGGAACCTATCGTTATCAATCTAGGAGACGAAGATAATTCATCAGAATATTCAGAGGATGAATTTTAATATACCTACTTTTTTATTTTCTTTATTGTACATTTATACAACACTACATTTACTCACCATAATTTGAATTTTCAAAATACATATATTTTTGTGTGGAATAAAAGTCTATTCATTAAATTTAAATAAATATTTTGATAATAATATTGAATAATTTTATTTGAATTACTAAAAACCCTCTTAACCCAGTTATGATGCTTAAAGTAGAATCATGTTTTGAAATGCTGTTTTTATATTGTTTACTTATAAGAGAAATGGACCGAGAAATTGAAGCGGCATAGACAAAGACGGATTGTCGGGGATTAAATTTTAGCTACCTGCTACAATTTAGTACAGTCCGATCACACAAAGTTTTTTTAAAAGTACACCTCATCTATACGGAAAATACATAATATAAAAATATTGAATATAGGCACCAGTACTACATTTATTTACGATTTGCATACATAATAAGCTTTTATTACTCTCTTTCATTTCTAAACAGACTATAGTTTTTAAGTTATCTACTATTTTTTGTGTAATGACCTAAAATCATGTAAGTAATTTCTTGCGAGGATAGCTGTGGAATTTTTAGCAAAACTTCAAAACAAACAACTAAAATGTCAATTTGTTGTTAGTCTTTTGCAGTGACAGTTTAATTTAGTGTTTATAAGAAATGGAAAACAATACATATTCAAATGCTGATATTTTAAATTTATTATTCATTCACGGCCATTGCAATGGGATTATAAGCAGAATATGTACAGTTTTTAATGGGACATATCCCAATTTGCCACCAATTAGCAGAAAAAAGTTAAGAAGAATTTTAGTAAATCAACTAGAACATGACCGAATTTATGCACAAAGAAGAATTTTACTAAAGCCAATAATTTCAAACGAAGATAATGTAATAAATGTGCTAGCCTATTTTAATGTTCATCCAGAATCCTCAGCCTTCACAGGATGCTAAGAACTAATGATATGCATCCATACAAATTTAAGCTACTTTCTTCTCTTCATTTGGGTGACGCCGTGCAACGTGTACAATTTTGTGAAACGATGTTAGTGCGATACCAAGAAGATCCACAATTTTTGCAACATATTATATGGACAGACGGGTCAAAATTTATGAGAGAAGGTATTTTTAATAGACATAATACTCATTTGTGGTCATCTGAAAATCCTCATGTTATCCGGGAAAGAAACTTTTAAAATAAATTTAGCATAAATATTTTTTGTCTAATTAAAGATAACCAAATTTCTTACCATTTCTACGAAGAAAATTTAAATGCGGACAGATATCTCAATATTTTGCAACCGGTTGTGGCAGATTTTCTAGATGATACCTATACCTTTAGACCAACTAAGGAAGTGTTGGTATCAATTAGACGGGGCTCCACATCATTGTCACAATCAAATCGATCAACAGTTGACTGAAATGTTTGAAGATAGATGGATGAGACGCCTAGGACCGTGGAATCGGCCAGTCAGGTCTCCCGACCTCACTCCATTAGATTTTTATGTTTGGGGAATAATAAAGTAAAAAGTTTATTCTACACGCGTTGCTTCAAAAGAGGATTTGATTGCTCGAATACGAAGAGCGTTCCATGAATTGCCTGCAGCTGAAATAGCAAAGGCGGTGACTGATGGTGTTATCTCTAGAATCCACAAGTGCTTAGCTGTTAATGGGGGTCAAATTGAACACTTATGACTTTTTAAAACACTGCGTTTACTCTTATAATTTTGTTTTTCACTACAATCCAGGTTATTGATTTATCCGTTCCAACGGTATATTCTGATACTAGATTGGGTGAAGTTATTGCTTCAATATACGCCAGAATTCTCTTTGATAAACTCTGCATGAATTAATCTTATCAAACTATGAAATTGTCTCTTCTATTTGGCATAATTCCTTCTAAATATTCAAAGGAAGAGTACCATGCCCCAGGCATGTTGAATATTTGTGAACTAAGAAATACACAAGACCTTAATCGATTGGAATTGGAAACCATTATTGCAAGAAGAGATAACGACATTTTTTCACAATTAGAAATATTAACAAAATAGGTTGTAAAGTAAAAAACAAGTTCGTATCTGCAGAGAATGACTTCAAAGATTATACAAGGTGTTAACGGAATAAGTACTCAAAATTTGAGAGTGTGTAAAACATATCGAAATATGATGAAAACCTCAGTAGAGTTTTTTGTCAGTGGCGGCCTCTAAGGGAGATACGGCCCCTTGAAGGGGTAACTTAGGAAACAGTTTAGATTGCATAACTTCAAAACGGTTTATAATTTATCATATTTTGCATAAAAAAGGTACTCTTGTTAGATTTTAATAGCATGAGCCGTTTTCTAGTAAAATCCATTACAATAATTGCAATTAACATTACATTTTGCTACAAATAATCAGCTACCTGTAAATTGGCGTATGTTCGTCCTTGTACCACACCACCAGGACGACGGAATCGTTGGGCGCAGACGCAGAGAGATCGCAGGGAAGCAGGGCCGTTCCTCTAACCAACGCCTGAACATGAGCGATCACGCCACCTGAAACAGAATAAAACCCATGTAGTCATTTCATTTGCATAATTTAAGGTGTCGTTCGCGTAATTTTCGCGGTAGGTCTGTCTGCGGGAAATTAGTGAGACTTGGTTTGAGAACGGATTCCATTTTAAGATATTCCGCATTTGCAACGAGAATTGCAAGATTACATTTTCCAGAAATGTCCCAAACATACAAATATTATCCAAAAAACACTGTTACATAAACAACATCCTTTTACATTAAAATCAGAAATATATTTTTGAAAATACAGTAAAAATTATCTGATAGAATTATTTTTTGGTGTGTCTTACTTCAGCGCACTGTCGAAAGAACTCGACATATCAACCGATCTGATTAAGGTGATTTTTGATAACACCCTGTGAAGCACAGCGACATCATCGGCCAATCCAAACAACGTTATAACCTGACCTGTTCTTAAAATCTCCTTTTTTAATTAACCTTCTTAATCAACTACTTCATATTTTAGTAATCCCACTATTCGCGTCATTGTACAATAACTTGTACATGTCTGCCTCTGATCTGAAGCTTCGCATCGATCAATTTATTCGATAAGCGTTTCCACTGTTAATTCGGGCGAATTAGATCAAACACATGCCTGTTCCAAAAATCGGACCTAACTCGAATTTTATGGGCTTAAAATTAAGTAAAAAATACACAGAATAAAAGTCTAAATTTGTGTATTTGTAGAGGTTGAGTGTCACATTGTGTATAACTAAAGAAAAAATTGCTCTTTTTTCAGTTTTTCGCTTATATCTCTGAAAATAAGCCTCTAATCGACATGGGGTATACTTATCGATTTTGTTCCTGTGGAAAGGTTAGGCTTTTACGAAAGCTCGCAAAATTTTTTTTACATTGGAAAATTAATGGTGAAGAAAAAAAGATGCAAAATTTTCAGCATTAAATAAAAAGAACGAATTTGACTGAAAATGGATAAAACTAAAGGAAACGATGACTGTTGGGGTGCTCAACAAATACCCGCAATCCGGACCGCCAATTTCAAAATGGCGGCTTACTGCAAAATTATAAAGTCGAAAATGCGAGCGCGTATATCTTCTGCCCAAGTCAAGATATCGAAATTTGGTAAAAAAGGATCGAAAGGTAATTACATTGTCTCGCGTTTGCATAAATTTCAGATTTTTTAGTTGGAAAATAAAAAAGTTATTAACAAAAAACCAAAAATAAAAAAACCGTAACTAGGGTCCTTATCTCGGCGGTTTTTTAATATACAGATTTCAAACCAACTACATCAAATAGTGCTTAAAAATAGGAGTCGAGATAATTTTTTTTTCTTAAAAACGATATTCTGGCTGTTCTAAAGGGTTTTCCAAAAATGGCTTTTAAATTACTATAACTACACAGTGTTTATTGTGTGTTTCAGGTAAAATTGTAAATGTGTTAAGGTGATTCATATACAAATCTTACCATGGCACCGCTTTCGACAGAACAGCGTATTGAAGTAATAAAAACTTATTATGGAAATGGTCGGTCCATAAAAGAAACTCATCGCAGAATTCGTGTTTTTTTCGGAGCTTTCAATCGTCCTTCTGAACAAACAATTCGAAATTTAGTGAAGAAATTTGAAGCAACTGGGTCTGTTAAGGACAGACCACATTCAGGAAGACCAAAAACCGCACGATCTGCTGAAAACATTGCCCTTGTACGGGAAAGTGTCGCAAATGATGCATCAATATCTATTCCACGGCGATCTCAAGAATTACGCATTACGCAAACCAGTTTATGGAGAACTTTACACAATGATTTGCATCTCCACACGTACAAAATTCAGTTAACTCAAAATTTGAAGGAAAGGGACCATTTGCAACGCCGAAATTTTGTTACTTGGATGTTAGAACAAAGAGCAACAGATCCACATTTTGCGCATAAAATAATTTTTAGTGATGAATCGCATTTTACGTTAAACGGTACAGTTAATAAACAAAATTGCCGTATTTGGGGGGAAGAAAACCGTCGGAAGATTCACGAACGACAACTTTATGCACAAAAATGTACGGTATGGTGCGGCTTATGGTCCGGGGGAATCATCGGCCCATTTTTTTTTTTAAGACAATGAAGAATGAAGACATCGGCAATGCTGTTACGGTGACTGGAGAACATTATAATGCGATGATAACAGATTTTTTTCTACACCCGTATTATAATAATGCACTTATATGCCCATAATCCGTTTCATAATGATACCCATTACGATACAGATTTTTCATTACGATACAGATTTTTAATCAATAGAAACCCATAATTTTTCAATCAAGCATGCTGTGCATTTGACGTTTATCCTAGGTTCCTATGTAATTATTTTAGATGTCAAAATCAGTACGTATTAAATTTTCGTAGATACCTAGCTAAACTTCGATAATTTATCAAAATGTCTGATATCAGCGATATAGAAGAATTACCATCGACTCCTCCACACATATCGGAGAAAGCAGAAAATGCAGTTCAAAATATTTTACCCCAAAAATCTAAGAAAGTGTACGAAAAACTTTATCAACGGTTTATGGACTGGAGAAATACAAATAATATTTCGACATTCTCCGAAAATACAAATAAAATGTTTATAGTTTTCTTGTATCTATGGCAATACCAATACCCGAGGTATTAATTACAATTTTGTAGATTTTTTTTATAGAAATACGAATAATTACTGTTACCTATTGTGTTCAATAAAAATATAAAATTTATGGTTTTTGATTATTTATCGGGTGTAGAAAAAATAGCGTATGCAACTCTCATGTAATGGTTATTAATACACTCGCATAAACCATACGAAACTCGCCTTCGGCTCGTTTCGTATCCCGGTTAATGCTCGTGTATTAATAACCATCATTACATGATCGTTGCATAATATACTATTATGGCCTCAATTAAATGGAATTGACACTAATGATGTTTACTTTCAACAAGATGGTGCTACATGCCACACCACACGAGAAAGCAAGAAGAAATATTCCAACCCTAAAAGATAACATTCGAGCCGCCATAAGTGAGATTGAAGCTCCAATGATCGAAAATATCTCCAACAATTTCAATGCTCGAATCGATGCCTGCCATCGTAGCCGTGGTGGACATCTAAACGACATAATCTTTCACATTTAATTGTAATCGATGTTATTTTAATTTAAAATAAAGAAACCCAAAATATTCCGTATGGTTTGGTTTTTATACAACAACAACATCCTAAAGCCATTTTTGGAAAACCCTTTATTTAATATTTTGTAATAAACTTGGGCTCATTATAAAGTAGAAGAGTTCCTTTATACGCTGAATTCTTTTTGAATGGATTCGACCAAGGAATGACCAAGTAAACGTGCGTTGAAGACAGAGTAATCCGCGCTGCTGAGCGGTAGCCACGAGAGGGCAGCGCTGTGACGTCATAGTGCCTATGCTGTGCCCAGCTTCTCAAAATTCTTACTTAGCAAATAGATTGTGGCACTTAGAAAGAAGCTACCGGGATGACTTTTTTGAAACTTATTTTTTTGCGCTCTTTCGAATGGTGCAAGCAAAAGTCTGTGAAAGTCATCGCCAGACCCCAAAAAATACATTTCAATTTACTTTTCACGTTTCTTTTTGTAATATCATTATGCTTTCGATATTTGCAAAAGTAAGAAGGTATTTTTACGTATTTAAAAACAACAGTCAATTATTTCTTTGGAAAAAGTGGTCAGTAGGTAGGTACTTTAATAATTTTTCTGATAATTTTCTTCCAGTTTCTAGACATGTCTTCTCATCAACTTTTAACTTGTTATTTCTTGGAGTACCTTTAATACCACTTACACTTCTGTTTTTCTTTTAGTGTCAGCAAAATATTGATATGATCTCTGTACCATTCATTACAGACCGTTAATATCACCAGATTAATAAGGAATACACACCCTGCCATTAACAGGCATTTCTATTTCATCCTCCCTTATCGATACGGTTTTCATTTCACGCCACCATTATATGACGCAGTTAAGACCGACTTTAATTTATGATACTAGGGGCACAGTGTGTTCAGATCGTTTAGTTTGCTAAATGATTCCTCCCATATACTCGTAATTTCGTTGTAAGACCTGAAATCACTTTTTACTCGTAGGATTGTGTCCCGAGTTCGTGACGATCGTGACGGTTTTCACTTAAGATACTGCTCTGCAGTATCAGAGAAGTTGCTATTGAGGAGCATTCCGGTTCCAGTTCATTTACAACTACGTACAGAGTTAGTCATTTTAGATTAATGGAATTGTTTGATGAAATCGTTTTAGAAAATTACATTCAGAACAGTACGCTTGAAAAAGGGGATCTGTAACAGATATTATCTGCAATATGGTGCTGTATTGTGGTATAAGAAGGCTGTACTGTATATTGTAAGATTAATGAAATTCATTATACAGGGTGGCCAAATGAAAACGAACACAGCCACTTTCAGGAACTGCGTCAAGAATAAAAACGTTAAGACCCGTCGATTTTAGATTAAAGAGGGACATTCTTTGCTGGTATTTTTGACTCCGCCACTTTCACCCCCCAAGCAACGATAAGCATCACCCCAAAATATTTAAATGGCATTGGAGGTTGAGTAATATTTCTTTTGAAAGCTCTTGCAATTCTCTTTACAACAGACTTTAAATTTTATAATTCCGCCCAATACTTATTAAGAATTTTGATTTTAAAGTTGAAACTTATGTACAAACAATTAGTAACGGTAAAAATGTCAGTCATTCGAGTTAAGTACGCCAATGGTATAAATTTAGTTACATTGGTTTTTGGCGATTTGTTATCACTTTCGTAAAAAAAACACATTTGTAAAAAACAGAAATAAATGCTATACACACACAATGAACTTAAAATTAGTGGATTCCAAATTATTTTCCAGTATTATTTGGAAGCGTTTGTTGGTAGTTTATTTAATTGTGTTTTTGAAAATTAAACACTATGGTTTATTATTCCATTGCGGAAAGGGTAGATATCATTTCGCTTTGCTTTATGAACAATAAATGTGCGAATAAAACAGCTCAGCTATTTAATGAACAACATCAAGATCGGCATGTCAGGAGGAAGTATGTTCTAGAGTTAGTAAAAAAAATCAAGAGACAGGGAACGTAGCCAATAAATAACGAGAAATTGGAAAACCTATGAAGCTAGTGAAGTTGCAGTTTTGGGACAAGTTCACACTTTTGAAGTATTACAAAACCCTCAACTTGTCATAGGTTTTATAAACTTTTAACAATAAATGCGATAGTTATAAACAAATTAGAAAATGGGCACTTTTCTTGTTTTTTTTGCAATAACTTTTTTGTTTATTAACCGATTTTAATTTAACAAGTTTCATTTTGTAGATAATTTTACTCCCTATAAGTTGTCTCAGAGTCACTTTTCGCTAAAATTGATGGTTTTCCCTGCAAAGTGAAAAAACTGTTTTCCTTACTTATTTGTTTAAATACATAGAAACGTTAGCTAATAAAAGTTTTTGACTCACGAGATGAGATAATAATTTAATTTGCTTGGTCTACTTTGTGACAAACCTGTTAGGTATCGCTCCCTATTTCATCTTTTCTTATCATGAAATCTAGACTGTTGCAGATTTGACGACGTTGCCTCACTGCTTAATACTGCGCAATTATTTTTCCAACGAGTTTACCCACCGACACGTCATCTTCATACAATAATATTTTTATGTTGAACAAATTTCATAAGGTAAAAGGATCATGCGAGAGAACTTGGTCTGGGGCCAAATGAGGACACCGAAGGAAATTTAATATCTTCTCCGTTGAAAATCTCGTAAAGATGTTATTACAAAAGCGAGTTGTCCAGGTGGAGCTAAAATCAATATTCCGGTAATTCTAGGACGTAAAGAACATTTTGCGGGAAACAATTTCATGTATGTTCCTTGCGGTAGTTGATATGAGAATACTTTTTTATAATTTAATAAAATCACTTGAAAAAGTAACGCTGTTCGTAAGAATTTATCGAACGAGTCTGGAAAGAAACTTGGGATGATTAAAAAAATTCAGGTGTGCATAATTTTATATTTTCCGTAAATCTACACAAAAAATAATAAAGAAAAGGTAAAAAACATTTATTGTGCATAGTTACAATGGCAATATACAACCTACACAAAAAAGGACTAAATACAGATAACTGGTGATTAGCCTACCCCTCAGAAAGTCAATTAACTTACACATATTAAAAGCAATATGATTATAAAGTGTTATTAAAACAGTGAAAAAAAAACAATATAACTTATAGATATTGAGACGTTTTTTGAAAATCCACACGAAATGAAAGGAACAAAATTATAATATTAAGAAAGAGAAATCTCAATTAGAGTCTGAAAAAGAAGTATGTATAACAATGAAAATGCAAATAAAAATAAAATAGTTGTATAATTGAACCATGAAAAAACATGATTAAACCTAAATTTGACTAAAATATCAATTATAATATAGTAAATTTCATAATATAGAACATTAAGAACTGAAATATCATATCTAAAATAGAAGCAAAACCAAGAAAGTAGCATATCAATTTAAAATAGATAAAATAAGTTATAGTTAAAGACACATCAATAGAGAATACGAGAAAAGAGAAATGAAAAATCTTTATTTAAAATTCACATAGTATTAAATTTCAGAAACTATCATGTCAAGGTGACAGTAGTTGTCAAAGTTAAAGGCAAATCTACATGACATGAGACAAAACCCGGATTTAGAAAAAACAGAAATAAATGATAGTAACAGTTAAAAGAAAAATAAAGGAACATTATTGTTAGTTTAAGAAAGTTTGTAAATAGAAAGTAAGAATTAGATAAGAAGTGAGTGGAAGAAAAAGAAATACAAAGTGAAAGAGAATGAGTGAAAGTGATATAAGGACTATTCATGTGGACGGACCTTAAAAAGAACTTCATAGGGAAAAGCAGCCCATGTGAACAAGAAAAAAGGCCGGTTACCATGAGAGCAGTCAACAAATAAGATCCTGGGAGACTCCATGAAAATTTGTGAAAAAGTTAGAAAAAAGGAGATTATTAAAGAATATTAAACAAGAATACAACTGAAAAGACATACCTGAAGTCCAATGTCCAAAAGGCATCGTGGGAAAGGAAAAGCTACGATTCATCCCAAGTGGAAAGAATTCCAGGCCAGAACTCCACCCACACCCTAACAGAACGGAGGGAATACCCACAAAAACCAGGACATAAGTGCAAAATAAACAAAAAAAGGTTCATTTAAACATCACCTAAGGTAATATGAATTCATATTTTCAAAGTGAAATACAAATAAATCAGATCTGAAAGACTTAAAGAAAGTACTTACCATATAGAGAGCTCATAAATCATTCCACTCATAAATAGACTTAAAATCGTTTTAATTTAAGCATTTAGAATAAAAGTAAAGTTTGTACTGATTTTCTTAGGTTAAGATTTTTCAGCAGATAATACAGGA